CATTACATACACTCCCTATTTTATTAGCTCATATGTTTTTGAAACTGTTATGATTGCAGCTGCTGAGTGAGCCTCATTCAAAACTTCCATGTTGCCCATTATTTCAAACATTTTAAAAGTTACCAACATGAAACTTGGCATACTTGCTTATCATGACAAGGTGCAGGTGTTGCTCAAGGGGCATAATTCTGAACTCAATATTGTTGGAGTTATGCCCCTTTTTAAGTTGCTTGTGTTGCTTTTGTTGTATAACAAATTATATTGTGATTCAATCCATAGAATCCTCATTGATGATGAAATGTCAAAATAACTAGGGATGGTTTCATACCAAAACAGTTATACATTATGTAATATCATATAATTTTAACACCTGTTACTAAACTTTATGCTTTTCTTTGAAATATTTTAACAAATTGTGTTCAGCAAAGTCAAAATGTGAGAATTCTAGGTGAAAATGAAATTACAAATAGCGTTATGATCAGTCTGGAGCACCACAACTGCCATTTTCATTATGACAATTGCAAGTCAGTAACATGACTGTCCTCAAACTAGGGATATGAAAATATTTCCTAAAAGTGCATAAATTGAATACTTAAGTGATCGTCTAAACTGTTCAAAGGTTTAACTGTACTTATCAATAATAAAACTATTTTTAGTTAAGACAGACTTGATAGTTTTAACACGTTTATCTCAAAAATGTGTTTTGTGAGGTTTATTCACATGCCTGTGTTTTTCATTTTGAGGTTGGCTTTTTTGCACAAACAAAAAACGTGCAGACTAGCTGAAGGCATTACACTTTTATCAGTGAAAATCATCCCGCAAAAAACCAAAGTAAAATGTCAGTCAGTAAGTTATTTTTGGAATGTTCCGAGAATAGAAATCTGTGTTACTGCAGATTTATAGGACTGATTATAGGTTAGTACCATTCCTACACCTTCAGCACTATTTCTTCAACCATCATTTAAACAAGTGAAAATTTGATATCAAGATAATTACAAAACACCACCTATAATAAAGACCACTCAATCTAAAGACCTCCAACTTTATACAGTGTTTATCTCTCTCCAGGTTAAAATAATGATTATATGATCATCTATCATGAGATATCATCATCATTTAGGCAAGATCTTCATTAAGACCATAGATTTCAGCAGTGGTCTTAATAGGCAAGATCTTCAATAAGACCATAGATTTCAGTAAAAGTAGTCTTAATAAGCAATTTCTTCATTGATAGATTTCAGTAAAAGTGGTCTTAATAGGCAAGGTCTTCATTAAGACCATAGATTTCAGTAAAAGTTGTCTTTATAGGCAAGATCTTCATTAAGACCATAGATTTCAGTAAAAGTGGTCTTTGTAGACAAGATCTTCATTAAGACCATATATTTCAGTAAAAGTGGTCTTTATAGGCAAGATCTTCATTAAGATCATAAATTTCAGTTAAAGTGGTCTTTGTAGACAAGTCTGATAGTAGGCATATTAGTTACTCCTGTTATGTTCTATATGTAGACAAATGTGAAAACTTAAGTAAAAGAGAAAGGGATAGAAATCATAAAAAGAAGTAGTTTTACTATTAGTGAGAAAAATGAAAGGGTTTATTATACAGTAAATGAAATGCACTAAAGTTTTGTTGATTATAAGCCCAGCGCAGGGTTACTGGAACCTTCTTATATGATCATGATGATGTTGCAATATTTTAATACTCCAATAAATTTTCACATAAATGTCATATATCTCAAGTTTTGATCATTTGATTATTGCATGTTTGTGTATATAATTGGATAATATTGTCACAGTTCAGAACTGTTCACTATTTAGGGGATAGGATGTGTTAGCGGCCTGATAGCTTGACGTCTGTAGAGCCGCGGTACGGTGTTCCTAGGGTCTCGGGTTGGCGTCCCGGATCAGGCTGCACATTTTCTAATCCTATGACAATATAATAACATTATGAATAAAGATACAACTTACTAGAATCAATCTTAAAAGACAAACTTTATAGTGCTGTCTGACAACTACACTCTGTACAGGTCTCAACTCCATTTTTGATACTTTACATTTAAATTCCTTTTATGAACAAAACAAACTGTAGCACTGGACAAAGTCCACTTCAAAAGTCAAGCCTGTTAAACAGTTAAACTTGAGAAAGTTACCTTGAAGTCAGCCATTTAAAGATTAATTTCTGTCTCATTGTTACTATACAAAATAATTGTATTTTTGCATTTGACTATAATCTGTGTTCAAACCATTTAAACATATCAGATTTTCTGATTTTATCATCTAAAGTAACCTTTAAATGCTCATTTGTATTCCTGCTGACATTTGAATCATGTGAAATGAAACAAAATTGCTGTAATTTTAGTAATAAATAGTATAAAAGCTTCATAAGTAGATGGTCAAGCTACAAATATGATCTTTAGATATCCCAGACTGGTCTCACAAAGTGACAATTATTGCTGATAATTGGACTTTAATTCAGAATATCAGGGTATTATTCTGTGCAAACTTTCTGCCAGTTTTTATTCATTTATTTCACATCTTTTTAGCGAAAATGATGATTTATAACTGTGACAACATATGGCAGCTGACCAACATGTGTTGAGATTTTGGATTTTTTTCAAACTGACCAGTACAGATTGAATGAAACTGACCAATTGTCAATGTCATTATAATAATTATAGTCACATCAGTGTTTAACTGTTTTGTGATAATTGATAGAAACAGGTCTCAACAAAAGACATGTGAATGTATATTAGTATTTATTGCAAATCTAATCTTGCAACTTGAGAAATACTTTGACCTTGGTTTGTATTGGTAAATCAACAAATTATTATCAGCTTTAATATTACGCATATATTTTCAATAGCGCACTTTTAACCATATGAAGTGCATAAAATGTAATATAAAGATTGTCACTCCTACTCTTTGAATGATTTTATTGTATCTTGTATCAATCTATATTTTAAGTTGACAAGATAAATGTTTCACATAATGTCTTTGAATGGTTTTAATATGGCTGTGATATGTTGAAATTAAATGCGCATTTAATATGTTTGTTTCCTTTGCACATGATTTTACAGATCTCACATTAGAAACATCTATTGTTTGTTCTTTTGAGGACATCTGTTGGTTCACACCCCTGGTAGCAGAGGTTACAGTATATCACAGTGAAAATTACTAGTGTGCAGCAACATTTCAAGTCAAGTTTGCCCGTCTGCTGTATTCAGATACTCCCTTGGTCCAAATATAGCTATTTATCATTTCTCAAAACCCCTTTACAGAGATTTCTGAATTTCCGTTCTATCCCACATTTTTTATTCCCAGTGCAAAAACACCCAGCACCCAGCATGAAGTTTGGCATTTACTGCTCTGAAAATAATATATCGCCAACTGTAACTGAGAAATATCTCCCCTCCCACCACTTTTCCTCCCCCCCCCCCCCCCCCAGTACCCCTATCATAAAAGGGAGTCGATGCATAACCTCCTACTATAACAGATCATCATGTGATGATGAGTCATACACTAACTTCAATGCTACCCCATTATTTAAAATGCATTACAATTGAAACTTTATTTTGTATTGATTTGATGATCAGCTGGCAGTGCTCTCTCTTCCTTTGACTTTCTCAATTTTATTATTTTTTTGAAAACGATTCAACTTGGGATACCCTTAGAGTGACTTATATAAGACATGATGCATTTTAATTTAGAATGCAATATCTTTTATTATTTGTTTAAACTCAATACTATAAAAAGGGTTTATAAAATAACTGTTGTAACTTTAATCTTTGAAAAATAATAATTGCATCTGATATTTGGTATTGTTGTACGACTGAATTTAAACCGTTAAACGTTTCAGAGAACAGTTTTAAGAAGACAGTTTTTACTTGATTGGCAGACTGTCAGAAAGATTGAGTCATTTGGCTTAATTATAATAATGTGGGTTCAATTTTCCCCTGTCAACTGGACGTTTGTTGAAATGGAAATTAGCTTAACTTTAATTGGGTGACAGAGGGGAAAAATATCGTAAAGCTTTGAAAACCACAGACTGCGTCTAACATTTAGTCATACAGCTCAGAGAGCATGTTGGTGCAAAATATTGATGGCAATTGCATGTGTTTTTCAAGAGAGGATATATTTATAATTCAGTTTTAATATTTGATAGTGGATTTTCGTCATAAAAAAGGTATTGTTGAAAAAATTATCTCATGTTTTTGCTAAAACTGTTTTTCTTTATTGACATAAAAATGTGGAAGTGAAGAAATAAAGATGTTTTTGTCACCATAATTGGTTTTTTAGAAAGCAATTATTTGTATGACCATGCGTTGAAGGAAACTACTAGACAAAGACATCATAAACTTTCTTAATGAGTCATTGGTATAGAATATGTGTATATTTCTTACTGATTTACTTACATCTTACAATGATATCATTGTGATAAGAACATGAAACTTAAAAAAAAGGTGAAAATTACATTTCCTTTCATGTAAACTGAATTAACATCTTGGGGTTGTTGTTATTTTGGCTAGCTATGTGACAGGCGAGTCACATTGAGTTTTATTTTAGCTTTTGATGTTAAGACTTTCAAAGTGGTATTTATAACCTCTGGCGGATGATGGTCAAATTTTGCATGTCTGGGTCCTCCTTATTTAAGTATTTCTTGTATGTGTCTTGTTTGTTTGTGCCGTTCGTTATGTTATGTGTAAAACTATCTTAAAATGGCGACTCGAAAAAATATTAAGATTGGATATTTTGGATATTTTAAATCATTTACTTTTATGAAATCTGTTTTTTAAGTAACATTCAATTTAATACATTTTAATTCTCTTTTTAATCTGTCTCAAATGTTTAGTAGTACATGTTTTATTATAAAATTAGGAACCTTCATGGTCAGCAGGTCAAATAAAGAATTAAATTCAAATAGTGTGGAATAATTTTTTTTTCTAATTTGTTGGTCAAATTTTAGTTTGTAAGTTATTTTAAAACATTTGTTTCTATATTTTTAGGTGGTGACACCAAATCGTCATGGAGATCTGTTTTTATATGAGCAACCAGCCGGAAGTCAACCTGACTATGATGTTCCCCCTACACGCTACCAAGGCGTAAACATGTATAACCATACTGGTAGTAACCATTCTTCAAGAGAAGATCTTCTGAATGCGTCTGCTTCTAGTTTTGAACAGTCATTTTATGATACACCGCCACAGGGGCGGAGTTTCAATAGATCTCAAGACTTGAGTATGTATGATACACCCCCATCTCATCTAGACCCATATGATATGCCATCAGGATCAGTAAGAACTAGTCTATCATCGAAATTTTCTGATGAGTCAATGAGTTTATCTAGTGGGTTGTCAAACAGCAAATCAAATCCACCTAGCATGTGTGATTCTGCACGATCTAGTATGGACATTTCTTCCTATGGATATGTACGATGTTCCACCCTCACAACGAGAACGAGAAGCCAGAGAAGCAAAGGCCGCATTGTATCCTATACGTTCCTCAAAGGATTCTGGACTTGACATGTATGACTCGCCTCCAAAATTGAAATCACCACCTTCAATGGTTGATGATTACGATGTACCAAAATTAGCGGCAATTAATAATGAAAGAGAAAATCAGTTTAGAAACTTGAAAATTCCAAGATCTGAACCAACTAGTCCAGGAGACTTTCTCGACGATTATGACGTTCCTAAAAAGTCACCATTTGCTTTAAGCATGGAACAAAAGAGTTCATTAAAGTCTGACCTTTCTCAATCTGACCTTGAAGACTATGACGTCCCTAAACAAAGTCCACATCCTGTGATTGGAAAGCCACCAATTGCAGCCAAAACAAAAAGACACAAATCAAATTCGATTGGATCTCTGTTGGATGATTATGATACACCCCAAAGTCGTAGGGTTGAAAATGTCAGCAAAGATGATATGTTTCTGAGTCCAACGAAAAGCAGGTTAGCTCAGGACATTGACGATGATGTGAATGATTATGATGAACCTGATGCTCAGACTTCTTATAATTCAGTTGATAAACCAAAATTTCAACGACAAGAACACGCTGTTGATGATCTTTATGATTCACCCAGAAATAATGCCCCTGTAAAAAATATGGCAAAAGAATTTTCATCTTTGGCTGTAACCAGACCAAAAGAACCCCTTGGTGTTTATGATATTCCTCCACAAGTTACAAGAGACTCGGTAATTTCATCTAAATCTGATTCTTCTGATAGTAATGAGGGAAATAATCGTTTGTCCACATGTAGTACGGATTCTCGAGGCTCAGATATACCAATCTATGATGAATTGCCTCTAGAATTGGATGCTGCAAATGATTTAGTAATAAAGCTGCAACAAGATGTTCAGAAGTCAGTGAATAAGTTTAGTACTTTTGTGCATAGTTCATGGAGAAAGAAAGAAAATTTAGAACTGAAATTGTACGATATAAAAACAGCATGTATAAGTGTTGAGGAAAAACTTGGTGAGTTTGTAGAGTTTGGACAAGGTACTTTAGCAAACTCTGCAAAGCTGTCAGATCGTAAGTTAATTAACAAGCTAAGCAAGTATCTGATTCCACTTCAGCAAGCACTTCAGCAAATGAGAGTATCAATTAAACATCTAGATGATGTTGATTGGCGAGTTTCAAAGTTAAATGCTGGTGAATCACCAAAAAAGGATGATTTAGGAATAATTGCTGCCTTAAATAAAGATCTTACTCATGATGTACGTAAGCTTGCCTCATTTATACAAGGCAATTCTTCTTTGCTTTTTAAACGTGCCAAAGACTTTAATAGAAGCTCAAGAAACTCGGACCATTCCATGCCATCTACTCCAGTAGGGAAACCACCAATAAATCGTAAACCAGCATTACCTGCTAAGCTGAATATCGGGACCCCTGTGCAGGCTCGACCACTTCCTGCACCTCCCCCGACTGAAAGACCATTACCTCCAACACCAACTGATAAAAAGTCGCAGGAGTTTGGGTTCAGTGGACCAGATATGAAAAGACTTTCTGGGGATTTTTCAAGCAAAAGAAATTCAGGAGAGTTTAAAAATTGGTCAGGTGAAATTCAGGTGAAAAGATTATCTGTTGACCGATACTCTGAAAGTGACAGAAGTTCTTACAAAGCAGAAGATCTGATTCAAGAATATGATTATGTTGAATTAGAAGAAGATAAAGCAGATAACAATGAGAAATCTCATTCTGTTAATAAATCAACAGCTGACTTCAATGATAATATGAAAGGACCTATTGAAAAAGTGAATGATTCTTATGAGAAGGAAATGGAAAAAACATTGGATGAAATTGATGGAGTAAATATATACTCTGATGAATCTGGAGGTACTCTGAAGAGGGATATGACCCTCAAAGACGTTGAAAACTTTGAAAATGTTCAAAATGACACTGAATCGGAGCATGACACTGGAACTCTAAAGAGAAAAACTGACAGTGAAAATAGTGTTGAAAGTAGCACAGGTACTTTGAAAAGTTCTGAAAAGGAAGCAGAAGAAAATAGAGAGTTGTAAACGAGAGTCAGCCTGAAGTAACAGATGTACCCGAGCGTGATAATGAACCTAAAAAACTTCAGCCTCTTGATTTTGAGGATAAACAGGTGTTAGCGTTCTATGCGGAGCAGCTTGACACTCATTCAACGCTTCTAACGAACTCTATAGATGCTTTCTTTGCATGTATTGAGAACAATGAAGCCCCTAAAGTGTTCATTTCTCACAGTAAATTTGTGGTCGTTTCAGCACACAAACTTGTATATATTGGTGATAGTTTACATAGAAACATGAAACATGATGTTGTGCGTAGTAAAATTATTCAGTGTGCAAATATTTTATGTGACAATTTGAAATCAACTGTAACAGCAACGAAGACTGCAGCATTGCAGTACCCGTCCGTACCAGCGGTTCAGGAAATGGTTGACAAAGTTGTTGATGTCTCGCATTCAGCGCGGAACTTAAAAATGCTTGTTGCACAGGCTTCAAAACTGTAGAGTAGTGCTATATTGTGTATTTTTCATCTTCATATTTAAAAAAAACTGTTAGTTATTCATTAATTTGATTAATGATTTTTGTTTTGCACAGCCATTAAATAATGTAAAGTTAAACTTTGTGCATTGTATTTAATTACATATTTCTTGTAACATAAAATATCGCTGTGATCCAAAGATTTATTTTTTATTGTGCCATGTGTTGTAAACATGTCAGTTATGTTATTTACGATGTATATAAAACTTGTCATATTAGTTTCATGTACATATAGAATCAGATTGTTGGGAAGTCATAAATCTGTAATTTTGAATGTTCTCTTCATATGAAAGGCTTCAGGTGTTATATAATGTAACTAGGTAAAAATGCCAATTTCTTTATTATTTTAACAAACTTCTTATTATCGTAACAAATATTCTTCATGCAATTAAATAAGCAAAATAATCATTGAAAACAATCATGTAAAAAAATTACTTTCAATTAATATTGATTAATATATGTTGCAAAAGAATTTTCTCTTATTTTTGTTCTAATAAATATTTCACAGTAAGAGTCCTGCCATTGTTTTGTTGTTTTTTTTTCTTTGTGTCACTCTGTTGGTGAAGCTAACCAGAAAACAAGAGATGATTTTATAGGATTTTTTTTTCTCCATCATAGAACAAAGAAGTGGATAACATTAAATGTAATAGAGCTTTCTATGTTTTCTGTCAAGCAATGAACTATTGTCATTATACAAAGTGAATTAGAATGAAATTCTACATTTTTTTTTCATTTTCCACTTTTTAAATTAATTATTTTGTTTTATATAAAGGTCATATAAGGGATATTTGTGTGTGTAAACATGCCTCTATATTATCCAATTTCCTACAATATAATATATATATCTTATTTATGCTGTTTCTTGATATAAGTATAAACCTGAAAAAAATAAATATGTTAAGGTAACATTTTGTTTAAATTTAGACCTTATTGCTTGCAAAGTCAAATGAAATTGTGACAAATAACTATTTCTTTGATATTACATAAACAACAAAAGGTTGTTGATGGCTTGTGTAAGTTTAATAATAAAATTTGAAGAACATAATATTAAAGAAGGATTTTCATAGTCATTGAAAAGTTTGTTTTTTTTTTTCAGAAAAAAAATGCATGTATCCTATGGTAACTTGTAAAAATGAGGCATAAATGTTAGAGTGAAAGGACAATAGTTTATATTGTTTATTATCATACCACACTATACTCTTTTTTTGTTACTTGCCTTAAATGTCACTACAGTGGTTTATCTCATATATTTTCATTTCACATTTTGACATGACCTTTAAAAGGTTACATACATCTTTTTAGACATATGCAACAATTTTTTTGTACATTCAAAATGGTTGTTCACTGAACTTATCTGGTACCATTAATACTTTTTCATCTTTTCTTTCTTTTTCTGTGTTCAGTTACTGTCTATATTTAAGCCATCTGTCAATATTTTTTACCAAACTTTTCTCTTTTTTTTTGGCCAAAAAAAAAATATAATGATTAGATTATACTTGAATATATATAGCTAAAAGTATCACATTGATCAAATTTTGACTCATTTACTGAGATAACAATTTTATTTAAAAGATGTACACCTGCCATGTTTGTTGTTTGGGGGCTTTTTTGTTGTTTTAAAGATTGTTTGGATGAAACTATAAAGAAACTTTTTTTCAATAAAACCATTTATTTCTATTATTTATACAAAATTTATTGCAACTGTCAAATTACTATTATCTGTACCTGACTATCAGTCTTGTTTGGCGCAGTATTGTTAAAGTGAGTGTAATATTTAAATGAAATCTGTGATCATTTTATGGGAACAAGGGGCTGCAATCCTTCTGATTATTTTTGCAAGAGTTTAATCCCTTTTCTCAGTTAATTTTAAACTCGGACAAGACAATGAAATTATTGATCATGCATGCATTGCTTAAATTGTTTCAATTACTGTTGAATAAAGATAATAAATTGAAGACAAAAATTTTGTGTTATGAGGGAACCATGGAATATGTTATTAGATGGTATTCTTTCTTATATAAATGTCAGAATTTTAAATTGAAATTATTGTTAAAGAAAAAGTTGTTACATTGCTGTGCCAAGATGACAGGAAAGATAACTCTTTTCAAAGTTGGCTTAATCACATGTATGACTGCTGCAGTTGCTTCCCCTTGCAACTAAATTAGAATAATTCTGATTCTTTGTACAATTCTGTAAATGTTATCTTTATTTAATGACAAATGTATTGCTTTCTTATTGTTGCATCATGGAGCAAAGAATGTTTACACTGCATTAGAGAAATGTCTAAAAATATAAATATTTTTGAAAACAAAACAGTTTGTCTTTTTATTGGTATCCTGAAAATGTAAACTGAGATTGAAGCGAGCTGATCCAAGAGGAGGAGGATGGCTTCCCTGGTCAGCCTAGTCTTCACCTAACAATGTCTTCCAATGCAATGAGTTTGAATCCTGTTTGGGGACTACAAATTATTTCATGTGAAGAAACAAACCTGCTAGCTGGAGGATGATTGGGGGTTCTACTTTGATGAAATAATGCATTCAGGGACATCTGAGGTTTTCCTTATAACCTTATAACCACTTCGATGTTAGTGTGTATTGAAACGCAACTGAACAAAACAATACCTGCTGGTCAGCACTACTAGAAGAGTTTTAAGCTATCTTGACCACTCATTCTTATACCATTGTTGGTTAGTCATGTGAGAAGATATAAAGTTAGAACTTACAATAATGCATTTGAGCTGCATCATGACAAAACCAACATTATGGGTTTGCAACCAGCATGGATCCAGACCAGCCTGCGCATCCACGCAGTCTGATCAGGATCCATGATGTTCGCTATCAGTTTCTCTACTTGTAATAGGGTTGGTAAGCGAACAGCATGGATCCTGATCAGACTGCGCGGATGCGCACGCTGGTCTGGATCCATGCTGGTCGCAAACCCATTATGTTGGTTTTGTCATGACGCGGCGCATTTAAAGATGTTATATCTATGTATATTGTATTCAATTGTATTAATAACAAAATGCTAAAAGTAAACTTACATGTTATTATGGAACTTGGACTAGATTTTTAATTGGGGCAATTTAAGTCGATATTACTGTGGCATAGCAGTAGTCTTTCATGATGAAATTCAATATGGCTTTTTATAAATATCCTTGAAACTGTCTGGGCCAATATTGCATGAATTAAAATGCAGAAATGTAAACAAGTTGTAATGTATGCATTGACATGCCTATAAATGTGTCTTTCTAGACTTCTTGAAAATATTGATCAACTAAAATGATTTTCAATAACAAAATAAACATGTAATTTCATTGAATCCTATTTAAATTTCAATTTTTCACAAAGCTCTTCTATCTATCTTCGTTAATGTCAAACCCTGGGGACTTAAAGACATGTCATACTGCTTCAGATCATGTTTTTTTTTACGATTACACTAAGCAGGTATTCACTGTATATGTTGACTGAGATACAAGGGAATCCAGGAACCAGTTCTAGCTTTTATTGTTCTCTTACATGCCCAGTGTATAGCACTGATACATCGAGGATAACCTGGATTTTTTACCAGTACACCTCTAGGTAGATTGGAAACACTGAAAATGTCTGGGTGTTACTCAAGATCAAACCCGGGACCTCAGGAGTGACAGTCAGTGGTCTAACCAACTGAGCTATCGCGTCACCAATGCTATATAATTGCATAGTAACAAGGTTGTCAACAGTACAGTATGGTAAATGTCATTTAAAATCAGAAATAGTTGTGTTTATAATCACAGAGCTATATTTAAAAAATAAATTCCTTTTTAAGCTATTGCTAGATCTTAAAGATATAAATATGGATAAAGGGAAACAACTTTTTAATAAAAAAAAAAAAACAAGAATAAAGATCAACAAGTTCACACCTCCCTCTTATTTGGCCGATCAAGGGAAGCAACCGTTGCGACGACATAGACAAACTCCCTACAGGGGTTACTTTCCTTGAATCACTTTTTACCACGTTGAAATTTACCCTGACACCGACCTGCAAGCGTTTATCGACACCAGATTAAAATGAGTGAAGAAACTAAAAATTTAGGTCCTGAGGTCCCTGTTGACGAAGATCAAAGTAATAAAGACAAAATACTATGTGAAAGATGTTCCTCAGTAATTTTACTTCCAACTAAAGCCAAGTACATTAAAAGAGAGGTGAGTTAAATTAATTACTGAAACAGGAGTCTGACCCTTTCATGACATGACTCACAGCATGTAGCTATAGGCCGCCTATCATGTCACCAGACCTTGTAAAAATTATTTTGTTTCAGAATAAATGCTGGAAAATAATTTGACGGATAAGTAGTTACCATCGATACAGTAAAAGTGGTCTTGTGTTGCAGCACAGATGAACACTAACATACTTTAAATGTGTAAAGTTTTATTTGGTATTACTAACATACTTTAAATGTGTAAAGTTTTATTTGGTATCACAATTTTTCACTTATTTACTTCACTAAGTGGGTCCATGAAGTACTATGAAAAATAAAATGCGACTATGAATGGAATTCTATATAGTAACGACTGCTTCTTCAATGAAAATTAATACACAGAATTTTTAAGAAATACAGTGTTTTCTTTGGATGACAAAATAAGCTGGACACTAAGGACAGTAAGAACCCTTTCAAAACGATGATCGGCCAAAAAGGAAACACAGCGCTAATCTTTAGTTGCTTGTTTACATTTAATTCACTACAGGCGATCACTTCTTTTGCCAATTCTTGCATTCTGCAGATTTTTTAAAAGTTAATTTGAATAAGGTGAGCTCATAGTTGCATTTGTCTTGGGCTGTAGATGACACCTATTGTGCTTTTGGGGTTGTACTTGATGGGTCAAAGTTCAAGGTAACCGTGACTTTATATGCTAAAATTGTTTCCATGTTGATAGTTCGTTTATATTTTTTTTGTTAAATTCATGCTTACATTTCAAACCACCTTTGTTAGGCGCCGCGGGCGTCCTTGGCCAAGTAGTTAAGGTTGTTGACTTCAAACCACTTGCCCCTCACATCTGTGTGTCTGAATTCTGACAAGGACTTGCAGGGCCTTTTTTCACAGTTTGGGGAAGCAGCCCAGCCCTTAATTTTGGGGAAAAATTACACAGTATATTTGCAAAAGGGGAAGAAAAAACTTGATGTAAATTCAATTTTTGGGGAAAACTGCATGATTTTAAAGAAATTTTCTTTGGGGAAGCAGCCCTATACCGGCCCCTGTTATAGAAGGTAAAAAGGCCCTGACTTGGATTCTTTCATGTGAGGAAGCTATCCAGCTAGCTAACAGAATGTCGGTGGTTCTACTCAGGTTCATGCCTGAATAATACCTATACTGTGTTGGTGTAACATAAAACCCAACAACAACAAAAAAACACCTTTGTTTACTCTGTGTTTCTTCACCATTTTACTACTTTCCAGTGCGTTGCTGTATAATTTTTGTTTTCCTTATTCTTAAATACATACCATTTTGAACTGTTTCTCTTCTTTGTAAAAATAAATATAAAATAATTTTCAGGTTATTCAATTAAAAATTTTTTCTAAACACATAAATTGAAAGTTTTGCAGTTTTACTGACCATATCATATATTTTTTGTTTTAGTTCTACTTGCCGAATATGAAGAAAAAAACAGAGACTTCAAGTCCGGAGGATGGTGAGACTGTTGAAGACTTCTGGGTCGTAGATGACATGTTCACATTTGAAAATGTTGGCTTCTCAAACACAGTTGATGGGATAAAATACCTAATATGTGCAGATTGTGAAATAGGACCAGTAGGATTCCATGATACTAGTGATAAAAAAGCATTTTATATAGCTCATAATAGGATAAAGTATGATGGGTGAATTGGACATCTTTGATTAGGAAAAATGTTTGCTTATCATAATTTAAAAGTCAGTTGTTTTGATATGGGACCAATATTGTTATAATGAGTTATCAAGCTTCTAATATTTTAATTTTATTTTTTTTCAAAATGTGCAATATAATATGAAATTGTTTTTGGCTTATGCATGTAAAAGCTTAGTATGATAACATTTTCATATTTGAGAATTGTGTGGGATTAAAATGATTTTCATAATTTTTAACAATTCATTTTCTTCTTCTTTTTTTTTCAAAATAAGTGACTAAGTCATTACATATCCTATTTTGAAAACATGTAATAAAATAATATTAAGTGAGAAAAATTTCTTATTTCATTTTTCCTGCATAAAAAGTATGTTTTTTAAGCTTATGAGCATGATGTTCAGGGGTAAACTTTTGTGACAGCATGATGTTTGTTGTCTGTTGGGCTTAGTCTGTCATGGGTACTTATCCATAATTTACTTGAAGAACATCTACTTAATTATTTATTAGATTTAGATTTTTTTAACAAACTTCACAGGACTGTTCCTTTAATGGTGAATCTTTACAGGAGTTATGAATGGTTCCAGACTTCCTCTCTGGTGCATACATGTTAGTAGGTCAAATAGACAGAATACAATAAAATCTTTTTGGCATGTAACATCACCTTGTGGTCCTCTACAAAAACTGTCATTATTGGCTGTCCCGAGTGTCACCTTATTTAATTATATAGATTTATATATAAGAAAACAACATTCAAATCTACTCTGAAACTATGTGTCCTATAGTTTAGATATGATGTGGCATTGCATATCAGACCTCTACAAAAATTGTGTAATTTATGTCCATGGGATCAAAAATGGCCGGTCCTAGGATTTACTTTTTAACTCACTGGAGAAATAAGTGTTCAGAGATGGTGATTTTGTTATCCCATGATGTATGTCATCCGTTATTAGCTTACCGATGTTCTTCATGTGTCATTATTCACAATTTCTTTAAACAATTTCTCCGAAACCATATGGTAAATTTCACAGGAATATTCCATGAATATCCTCTACCTAAGTTTATAAATGATTCCAGTCTGATTACAGGAGCTAAAAAATGAAGCTGTTAAAAATTTTCTCCACAGTAATTTCAATGCCCAGGGCTTACATATTAAAGGTGAGGTATCATGCTATTTCAGTTTCCCTTCATTTTCAGCCTTTTTCCATGACATGAAATTTACTTCTCATAAATACGAACAAATGAAGTAAAAGAACATACAAAAGTTAAAAAGTCCTATCCCTGGGATCTAAAATGACTGGCATTTGGGTCATGTAATTAACATTGACTTGCATAGTAAATATTTCATAAAAAATCTTTTGCTCCAAAACTACAGTTAAATAGCTTAAATACTTGGCATGAATTTTAGTAATACCTAGTAATGCCTAGTGGACTTTTATATAGAATTTTTATAAAATGACACTACCTCTCAGTGAGCTATATAGAGCCACGATGTCCTCTTGTTTACCTTGACTTCTTTCCCCAGAAACAACAATGCCCAGATATTTATATTTCACCGCCTGAACACTCTTTTATTACAGGTATCATTTATAAGGAAGAAGAGTGTGAAATGTTATTTTAAGGACCTAAACAGTCAGTGCTTTTAGTGCAAACTTCAGCCACCACATGCACTATCATCCAGTTTGATTAAAAACAAATTTCTATAACTAGATTCTGGCCAAAACTCCTCAATGTCTCTCAACACCAGCCACCTCACTATACCAGCCACCTCACTTAATTAGATCTGTGCATGTCTGTTGAAATATAGGGAAGCAAAATGAGAAAATGTTGGTTTTTCTTTTTTATTCATCTAATTATTTTAATGCACACTGGAATGTACTTTTAGTATAAAACATTGAATAACATACATAATGATATGTATTAAAAAGAAACATTTTGTCCTGATACAAAATGTGTTAAATGTATATAAATGTGTTAAATGTATGTGAAATATATGGGCATATAAAACTGTCAACAGAAATCATAAATAAATGTTAAATTAGAAAAAAAATCATAAATAAATGTTTGAATAAAATCATGAGTAAATACAGTAGTGAATATTGCACTTTTGATGTTAAGTAGAAATATATTTTGGCGACTTATAATAAAGATATAGTAGCAAGTTTTTATTTTCAAATTTAAACAATTTAGACAAATTTAATTGTTAGCCAGTAAGGCTTGTGCTGTTAGAATGTAAATATAATATAAATGTACACACAGAATGAGTGAATACAAAAATACATGGCACTCATAAAATACTTTTTGTAATGATTTTATTTGTTATGATTTTATCACAGATAAGCAGAATAAGATAAATAAGAGTTAAAAAATGTTTTATAAAGTGGATAAATAAAATAGATAAATAAAATATTAATCACAAATAGATGCTAAAAAGGTCAACATTAAAAAAGTAGATGAAAATAAATAAATATGCAACAAAGATACCTTAAAGGTAAGTTCTTAACATAAAATACTTCATAATAATTCATGTAAACAAATCTCAAATTTAGGTATATCAAAATTTGGTTGCTATGACACTTAATATAGTCTTTAATAATTTGAAAACAAAGTCATAATATGCTATCAATAAACCTATAAGGCTATATACTCATATCACAGTAAATTAAATCACCTAATCTTGATTCAAAACACTTGAATGAATCACTGATATAATCTAACAAGTTCATACACTGATCACAAACAAACAACTATAGTCTAAAACTACATGTATAACACACATCCTGTCAATCAAAAACAACTGATATTTTTGCTTGTACAAGTTGCATCTATCAAGTCACCTATGCTTAACATAAGCTAAAAATATTTTTCACTAGTTTGCCTGTCAACTTTTAAACATGTGTTATGGCTTAATACCTGAAAAAACAAAGTGATTACGTTTGACAACAATCACTTAACATTTCAGTTAGTAACAAATCATCCATACCGACAGACAAACGTGACAGTATGAGAAAACTTTCCTTACAGCATAATACAAAACATAGTTAATCATCAGCTGCCTTTTATTTCATTGGTTGAGATCATATCAAGTGACAATCACATGTTTACTCGTCATCTTTACCCTCCGTGACCACGCCCTCGGCATCTTTTGGCTCGGTCATGTCTATACGGATACCAACGTATGATGGAAATCTGGGTGTTCCTGAGTTTGAGTATTCCTGAAACTTGTATGTAATGATAGTCCCTTTCTTAGGTGGACTTCTTCTATCCTTGTTTGTTAACCTGTAATATAAGGTGTCAATCATTTTGATTATATGGAACAGCTAAATGATTTCCATGTAGGACAGCATAGAATTTGACATTATTTGATACATTTTGATATTAAACTTTAATCTGATATTTTTCGTGATTTTAAAAATAAGTGCAGTTTAAATTTTTTTCATGATAATATGATAGAAGAGCAACCTCAATATGGTATGTAATGATGCAGTTTCTTCATGTTCATTAGTTTGGATAAAAGTATTTCGGTTCAATGAATTACTGTGAATATTTTAAATCAAAATTTTAAAGTTTTAAAGACACTTACCCTGATCCAACTTTGAATTTCTTTCCATTGGCCATTTTTACCCATAATGCACCTGTGAGACCTGGATTACTTTTACTTGGTTCATATCCTATAACAACAGCCTGTTAAAATACACAATAAAGAACATGACATTTCAGTATGGTCAGGTAATACAGCAAGACACTGAATTAAATCAAAGTTTCAAACATTTCAAAATTTAGATTTATTATAGTTACACTCAAAAGAACTTTGACAGAAAATAACTTGTGGCTCACTTCTGTTGTTTTAACATAGTAGGATTGATTTAATACTAAAAAGTAAAAACCCTGTGTAACAAACATCTTTCTCATATTCTAGTAAATTTCTGTTAAATATTCAATTTACAGTCAAGTAATTCTTGCAGGCCATAGTCAGAACTTTAACCATATTATTAACTTTAGTTCAGTTAAAAAGTACATTCATTACCTCTGCATCATGGAATTTCTTTACTTTGAGGAGTGTTTTAGAGCGAGTTCTCTCGTATTTTGAGCCTGGTTGACGTATCATAAGCCCCTCTCCTCCCAGAGCAATGATTCTCTTTAGTTCCTTTTCTATATGATTATTACCCTGGCATTTTTCGTGCTTCACTACCTTAGCATAGTCACTTCTGTAAAATATATACAGTCAGTTTAGAAAAATGTGATAATGAAAACAGAAATTTTATAAAACTTTGATCACCAACTATTTTGGCCTACAAGAAACTACGAACATTTTTTTTCTTTTTAGTATTTTTCATCCACTTAAGATTATCAAATACTTTTAGAAAATTTATTGTACACTTGATATTGTACACATGTTGTTTTTTCGGAAATAAGTGGTAAAATTAAATGATTCTACCCAATTGTATGCCAAAATTTAAAAATTGATGCATAGTCTTTCAATTACCCATTAAAATGAGAGTTACTTTATCACTAATAATTCAACATCATGGGCAATACAAACTTCAGTAACAACTTTTAATATTCCTATTGTAATAAAACATATTACTGGAACCATACCGGAAGATATAAAAGCATTATATTTAAAGGAAGTACAAGTTTACTTACTTGACAGAACCAAAATAGTCTTCTATTGCTTTCATTCTTTTTTCAAAAGGTTCCTTCTCTAAATGTGGAGCATCAAACACCTGAATAAGCATAAAAATAAAACTGTAATTAAGAACAACCCTTTGATTTGTTCATTGTGTCGACTGTAGTGGCGACATATAGGGATCACTTCTCCGTCGTCTGTCTGTCCGTCTGTTTGTCTGTCCGTCCGTCACAAAACTTATCCGGACTACTCCTCATAAGCTACTGGTGCAATTTCATCCAAACTTTACAGGAATGATCAGTACCAAGTCTAGTTGTGCATATTGTCAGCATTTTCCGGTTCAATGATTTTTGTCAGAGTTATGGCCCTTTAATAATTTTTATTTTTAAAGTTTGTCCGGACTACTTCTCTTACACCACTTATGCAATTTCAATAAAACTTTACAGGATTGATCTGTAGCTCAAGTCCTTGCGCATATTGCACGGGTTTTCCCGTTGAATGATTTTTGGCAGAGTTAGGGCCCTTTGATAAAAAGGTGTTTTTTTCTGTGTGTTGCCAGATACACAAAAGCTTGTCCGGTCTACTCCTCATAAACTACTGGTGCAATTTTATCCAAACTTTACAGGAATGATCAGTACCAAGTCTAGTTGTGCATATTGTCAGCATTTTCCGGTTCAATGATTTCTGTCAGAGTTATGGCCCTTTAATAAATTTTATTTTTAAAAATTGTCCGGACTACTTCTATTATACCACTAATGCAATTTCAATGAAACTTTACAGGATTGATCTGTAGCTCAAGTTGTTGCACATATTGCACGGGTTTTCCGGTTGAATGATTTTTGGCAGAGTTAGGGCCCTTTGATAAAAAGGTGTTTTTTTCTGTATGTTGCCAGATACACAAAAGCTTGTGTCCGAACTACTCCTCATAAACTACTGGTGCAATTTTATCCAAACTTTACAGGAATGATCAGTACCAAGTCTAGTTGTGCACTGTCTGTCTGTCTGTCCGTCTGTCACAAAACTTGTCCCAACATGAAATTGGCCATTATGAGGCGACACATGTGATCACTGATCGCTCTTGTTTTAAACCTTCATGCTACTGGAATTGTGAAATGTCATTCGAACTAGAAATCTTTCAATCTCGGATGAAGGGATTTAAAATATCTAAATTTGACAGCAAATAGTATAAAGTCTGGTTAGACTGTATGGATCATGGCAATGTCACATGTTTTAAGGGTGAAAACATGATTAAATTTGATATAAGTTCTTTCTTCACTTTTTTCACAATTAAGGCTACAGATTTAAATGAAAAATATGTGCCTGAATTATACATCCAAGTATTATATAAAATAGTATCTCTTTTGTAGTAGGAGATTTACTTACATGATAAACAATTTTGTTCCAGTGTTGGTGTTCAGGTGTTTTAACAATACTGACTGTTGATTGGAACTTTTTTCTTCCACCAAATAGTTCCCCATCTAAATGCATGTCTTTTGGTAAATCCTAAAAAAAGATAACACAGTTAAATCGAAATTTGTATCTAACTGGTACTAAATTGAAATTTTAGATATTTCATTCTTAACTAATACTTTTATTTTGTGGCAAATTGTGATAAATAGTAAACTATTAAAATTTATTTAATGATACATTGTATTTTACACAAAACAGTAAGATTTAGTGCTTAAGGTTGTCACTTAAGAATGAACATGACAAGTAGGGTTAAAATTTGGTATATACCTTTGTGAACCATGATGGTGCATAAAAGGCGTTGCCGAGTCTGGAGTAAAAACATCTTCCATTCCAGTAAGCGCGTACACCGTCAAGTTTCTCACTCATCCACCAATTTAATGGATTTGTATCTCTGTGATTTAAAATAAAAAAATATTGTGATTTATGATTTATATAGGTTGCTTTTTCTGATGAAAATTTACTATTCTTCTGTTAGGTAGGCACTCAATGGTGTCACTATTTGTTTACTGATCAACTTAAAATGGTATAAAGTTAGAGTTACATATCTAAGTTAATTTTAATGACTTGAATGCAGTCGTCTTGTATAGGAACCCATAACAGAGCAAAAACTAAATATTTATTAATAAGTTTAAACTTTTTAATTAGTTCTGTAATTTGAATGAGTTAAGTGTTGTTTATAACTATTTTGGTTTGAGAAGTGTGGATTTTTATAAGTAAAGACTTACCCCTCCTTGTACTTGTGAGCCAACAGTACACTCACTTGAATATGTTGAGGTATTTTTGGCTTCTTTCCTTTTTCTGGTAAATCACATCTTGCTCTCTCAAACTCATCCCCAAGATAGTTCTTTAAATGAGAGCAAGTTTTCATGTTGCTTGGTTTTCCAATGTTTTCTATGCCAGTAAAACTTGAACACCTAAGAAATTATAAATATAATTTACGTTTTTGTTACTGACAATAGTGATTATTCCTTCATTTGGAAGTTGAAATAATGGAAATAATATACATTCTAACATTTGGAATTGACATACATCCAAAAGAAACCCTGCTTTTTATCAAGATTTCATGCCATGTTTTAAATTTTCTCTTTGTTGAAAATCTAATTATTCCTAATTAATGCATTAATAGTATTTAATATTACATCTACATGGCATAATTTCATTCATCATTAATTTATACAATGTACATGTTAAAATATTGATACAAAAAGTTACTTACGTGCATTCATAATTGCTTCCTGTACGTTTAAGGATGAATCCACCAACTGCCACAGAATCCACACTGTCCATTCGGTTCAAAGGTTTTGGACGCGCCCAAGTCCTTGTTCTACCTGCAACACCTTCTGATGCTGCAAAAAAGAAATATATACATAAATATAAATATTATCATTACACATTCAGCAAAATATACTGAAATACAGCAAAATTTGTAAATTTTAACAGTTAAAAGCCTCTGTTATTGAAGTGTTATGATTGCATTATAAAAGTAAGGTTTGAATATGTTTATGAAAATGCCAGGTCTATGTACTTACCATTTGCTTTTCCACCTTTAGCAGGTGCTTTTCCCTTAGCAGCTTGTTTTTCATCTGGATCTCCTGGATGAATATAAAGTTTTTTATGACCCTTGTCCTTCCTGTAACATTTATTCCAGTATTGGCATTTAACTCGTCTTACTGCCGGTTCTGAAGATTTTTCCTTCTTAACTGGAGCAGGAGTGTCGTCTGTATCCATGGCTTCCTCTTTCTTAGCTGTAATATCATATATACCGTATATAATTTTAATCTTAACCTTGCTAAATTTATTGTTTACAGGTTGTCCTGCTTTAAATTCAGAAATCATACATTGTTGGTTATTTACTAATTTTAATCGGTAATTCAGTACAAACTTTTAGTCAGACTGAACAGATGTGCAGACTGGTTTAGAACTATACCGATAGTAATATGTTGTAAATCATTTATAACAATGAAGAACAATAATAATACACTCTACCTTTTTTAGTTGGAGGTTCTGGTGATTTTTCGGCCTCATCATCATACACACTCATCTCATGAGTCTTTCTTTTTCTCAACGGAGCCTTAGGTTTAACTTCCTCATCTGCATCTGTTAGTGATAGTGTTTTCTCTTTTCTCATAGATGGTTTTACACTGTCATCTTAAATTTACAAAATGCATTAAATCAGTTTCATACCATACCATACCATTACCACCATACCATACCATACCATACCAATACCAATACCATACCATACCATACCATACCAATGATACCATACATGTATCATGGCATGATTTTGAATAAATTTGGATAGCAAATTATTTTCCTAGTTTTATCTTTAACAATAATATGATGCTTCCACTAAGAACACATTAAATAATTTGACACTACACACATTAAAGTTAAGCAAATAATGTCTCTCTATAAGTAAAAGAGTTTCAATGTTTGTAAGCATTATAAAATAGTACCATCTGTTTTCTTGTTTTGGGCCGCTTTCTTCTCATCACTTGGGTGTAGGAAAGCTTCTAAGTGCTTCTTTTCCTTGCGGAAACATTTCTCCCAATATTTACACTTCTGTTTCTCAGACATTCTGAAATGATTGAGATCATTCATTTATAGTTGTATGATTATCTAATGTTACCTTGAATTACATATTGACACATATTGATTTATTTATTTTGCTGGTATTACTTAGGTTCTGCTATTAATGCAATTGGCTCGAACATAATCTAGCAGGCTTTAAAAGTTAAGATCTTTTAATTAATGTTTGCATGTAAAGTGTGGCATTATTAAAGAGATGATTTAATCAGATTTGAACACAATAGCTCTTTGATTGGCATTTTTCATTCACATTTTAATGAATTACAACAAAAAAATCTGTTACAGAATCTGCAATGCAATCATTTTTTCAAATCATTATAACTTCTTTTTTATCTTAAATCATTGTTTATCATGAAATATAAAGTAATTTGGCCTGATATTTATATTAAATGAGCTGATGTTTGACCTTCATAGATACACATATTTGCACACTGTATGAAATGTATATGCCTTGATCAAATCTACCTGTATTTTTAATCTCAAACCTTGAGGTAATGTTAATACATTTTAGTGAAATTTCAGTTGCATTATAGGAAAATATAAAACTTACATTATGTTACTAGTTGTTTATATCAGTCTGTTTATATCTTATTTAATTATGGTCTGTTAACTTGTTTCCTCCACTTTTATATCTGTCTTCTGACTATAGGGCATAATCTACATATAAATAGAATCTTAATATTTATGTATACAAGAACAGACTTGTCAATATTGGAAAAAACGCCCACTTTTACACAGAATGGTATACTGCTACATTGATTTTAAGCTGACATATACATCGAAATAACATTAAACCAGTCTATGAAGTAATGCCTATTTTTAGGTAAACTTTCTATATTTAGTTTATTTGTCATTGGGTATTTTGAGCTTTTAGGTCACTAAAACCTCATACCACACAGTGCTCTCCCTTTCATTAACGTCCAATTGTGCAACCCTTGACTGATTTGTTAACAAGAACGCTGATAAAGATATTAAACGTATATAACCAAAAGTGATTAGCCTAATTTAATATAGTGCCAGTTTGAATATTCGGGCCTAGCCATGTACATCTCATAGGAACCTATTATAAACCATAATACTTCATTAAGTAAGATAGGAGCAGGCCAGTTCCATACAAATTGAGTTGTAACAAGTTCATTTTAGGATAAATTTAGGTAAGCATAAATTAAGGGTCAATCTAGGAAGACAAATAATTTAATAATAAAAATTATTGTTTGTCTTCCCAGGGTTAGTTGACCAAAACTTCATTAAATAGTTTGCACAAACCTTAATAGTTTGTTGTAAATTTGAACAAGTTGTCAAGTAGTAAAATATAAACCAATCTTATCTGATAAAAGTGAAAATGATAAAAATGATAACATTGAAAATTTGTTGCCATGCATAGCAGGCATTCAATTCAGCAATTTAAGTGAAACCTGAGAATTAAGGGACAAAACTAGCATGTGGTATAAAATATAGGACTAAGATATCTATATAAAAAGGAGAGCTATCCTACTCATTCATTCACACTTTTGATGAAGTTTTTTTTGTACCAAACAAAATTTTTTCTATACCCATTAAAACAGCTCCTTAGTCAAGAGAGACAAGAATATCAAAAAAATTGTGACCCTTTTTAGCTCACCTGTCACAAAGTGACAGGGTGAGCTTTTGTGATCGCTTTTTGTCCGGCGTCCGTCCATCGTCCGTCCGTCGATCGTCCGTAAACTTTTACTATAAATGACATCTCCTCATAAACCACTTAGCCAATTTCATCCAAATTTCACAGGAATGTTCCTTTGGTGGTCACCTTTGAAAATTGTTTAAAGAGTTTAATTCCATGCAGAACTCTGGTTGCCATGGCAACCAAAAGAAAAAACTTTAAATATTTTCTTCTAAAAAACCCAAAGAGCTAGAGCTTAGATTTTTGGCATGAAACAACTTCTAGTGAGTGTCTACCAAGTTTGTTCAAATAAAAGCCCTTGGGTCAAAATTGGCCCCGCACTAGGGGGTCATTGATTTTCCCTATATGCATCTTAAAAATCTTCTTTTAAGGAACCCAAAGAGCTAGAGCTAAGATATTTAGCATGAAACATGTTCTAATGGATGTCTACCAAGTTTGTTCAAATAAGAGCCCTGGGGTCAAAATTGGCCCCTCCCTGGGGGTCATTGATTTTCCTTATATGTGTATAGCAAAAACTTAAAAAATCTTCTTTGGAAAAAAACAAATAGCTAGAGTTTAGATACTAAGCATGAAACATCTTCTAGTGAGTGTCTACAAAGTTTGTTCAAATAAAAGCCCTGGGGTCAAAATTGGCCCCGCCCCGGGGGACATTGATTTTCCTTATATGTGTATAGCAAAAACTTAAAAATCTTCTTTGAAAAAACCCGAATAGCTAGAGTTTAGATATTAAGCATGAAACATTTTCTAGTAAGTGTCTACAAAGATTGTTCAAATAAAAGCCCTGGGGTCAAAACTGGCCCTGCCCCAGGTGTGTCATTGTTTTTAACTATATGTGTAAAGAAAAAACTTAAAAAAATCTTCTTTTAAAAAAACCCAACAAGCTATACTTAGATGTTTAGCATGAAACATCTTCTAATGGGTGTCTACCAAGTTTGTTCAAATAAAAGCCCCGGGGTTTAAACTGGCCCCGATCCGGGGGCCTATATACAGGTGAGCGACCTTGTTCAACTAAAAATTTCAGTTTTCTAGATCTAGTCATGCCATTTCAGATATTGCTTTGAAACCTAAGTATACTGGTTCAGATTTTGTCAAAAATTTTGACAAAATTATTCTCCTTTGTTGATTAAGAATTTTACCTCAACCTAATTAAAGTATTACACTTAGTATACCTTTTAAAGTATTACTTTGAAACTTTAAACAAATTGTAAGTTAATTGCTGTTCTTATTAAATTTTCAAGTACAATAATATTATCTAAGCTGAGCTTGTTATATGATTAAGGCTATAAATTGAAATTTTAACAAACATTGGATATGATCATAACAAAAAATATACTTGAAAAGTATATTCAAATTGATGAAAATATTTTTTAAGTACAAAATGAAATAAAATTTATCAATTAGAAATAGTTACAATTAATCCTTGTTTAATATACATGTACATATATCATTATGAAATTGTTTGGGTGTCTCTGGTTTTAGCTATGATGAAAATAGTCATCATGCTTGTTGTTTTTCTTTTGAAGAATATAAGCATATTGTAGACAGATACCATGACGTTAAGTACAATGACCCATTATATATGGATATATATTACCCATACAAATCTCGTCATGATTTACTACATTGTTTAATAGTCACACTATTATTTGTTGGTAAAAATGATTTCCTGTTAATTTGTTCCTCTAATAAAAAAGTATATTTCATAAATGATATTTGCAATTGTCTTTTGCTTTAATATAGATTGTTGGTTTCTACAAATGTCAACCTTATTGAGATGGTATATAATTATGTCATCCTTAACCAGGATTGTAGCACAATGGTCAAGGGCATACATAGGGAACAAAGGCAAAATGAGTGCACTTTGTGCCTATCTTCCCTGTGATTTGAAAAATTCTCAAATTACTGATGAGATACCTTGTCTAAACAAGAACCAGAATCATAAGTTAAAGGTGACGGTTATTTCTAATGGGTCATAAATCAAAATGAGTGCACTTAATTATGCTTATTAAGGCTGTAACTTTGTCATAGATGTATCATATATGTATTCTCAAATAACTTGTCATCTATATCAATGAGATAGTATGCCATGCTCAAGATCCACAATCACAGTGCAGTGCAGAGGTCAAGGTTATACTTAGAAGTGAAAGGCAAAAATAAGTACACCTTTACTTGTATGGGCAGAAAGTTTGCCATTGATCTGGGCAGAAATGTGAACGTCATAATAAGACCATATGTCATGTATTAGAACCATTTGTGTACTCAAAGGCCAAGGTCACAAAGACCATAGCTCTGTCATTAAATGGAGGATTTGAACTTAGTTGAATAAGGTGGTGTATATGATGGGCAAGGTGAGACAGCTTATCATGCCAGTACTTGGCACAAAATTTTAATATTTCAGGTAAATGAGATGATGAGAGCTCAGAATAACTGGAAGTGAATTCAAAATGTTCTCCAACTGAAATCTTAGAGGCTCAGTATGTTACTTAAAATAGCTAGTTTTGAGATAAAAAGGAAATAGAAACTGTTTACATTATCAAGACATTCTGATGAAATAAAGAAATTACAGTTAGACATCATATAGGTGGATTATCACCTTTTAAGACAGTATTGTGACAAACTTTATTGATACATTTTTGTAGTTGGTTATGGTAAACTGAATACAAGCTTGAATAAAGCATGAATAAAAGATAAAAATATAAAAATAATAACAAGAAACAAAAATAAACAAACAACTGTTAAGATAATAATACATGCATACAATTAATTCATAGACATCATATAGGTGGATAATCTTCTTCTTTTTTCTTTCAAAGAAAGTACATATTGTCAGGTAACAGGTATACTTATACCTTAAAACTTAGTTTTAGAAATGTCATGATATGCTTGAAAAGTTTAAATACTATTTTGACACATGTTAATTATACGTCCTGGTCATTATAATGAATGAGGCATTCAATTTGTGCAGTGAGAGAACGTGCTCTGTGAACATGAACTAAATTTCACAAAAAAAACGGTCAAAGTTTGTAGTAGCTTTAATTGAAAAAAAGAGATAGTTAATATCAGACAAGACAAAGTTGTATTTTAAGATTTAGGTGATTATATCCTTGAATATTTTGGAAAACACCTATTCTTTACTGTGGTCTAATTTTGTTTTGTAAGTACAGAAATTTAACAACAATAAAATACATGTAGTAACATTGGGCCAAATATCTTTGACAAGGATAGTTCCTATTTGTGAATTTCTTGGACAAGGTCAGTTCCTATTTGTGTAAGCCTTTTTGTAGTGCCCGACAATATTCTGCAGAATAATTTAAAATGTGAGTACATGTAATACTTGTTATAACATGAATACTTGTACAAAGTACATTCTTGATACATTCAGGCAACACTTTAAATTAAATGTTACAGTGTTGTTATTTTTGATACATATAGTCAGGCAACAATCTTAATGTTTCAGTTTAGCTACATTCTTTATACAGTCATTTTACAGTTTAACCACATTCTTTATACAGTAAGGCTACAAACTTAATGTTACAGTTTAGCTACATTCTTTATACAGTCATGTTAAATTACAGTTTAACTACATTCTATATTCAGTCATGTTACAGTTTAGCTACATTCTTTACACAGACAAGCTACAAGCTAAATGTAACAGTTTAGCTACATTCTTTATACAGACAAGCTACAAGCTAAATGTTACAGTTTAGCTACATTCTTAATACAGACAAGCTACAAGCTAAATGTTACAGTTTAGCTACATTCTTTATACAGACAAGCTACAAGCTAAATGTTACAGTTTAGCTACATTCTTTATACAGTCATGTTACATCTTAGCTTCATTCTTTATACAGACAAGCTACAAGCTAAATGTTACAGTTTAGCTACATTCTTTATACAGTCAGGCTACAAGCTAAATTTTACAGTTTAGCTACATTCTTTATACAGATAAGCTACAAGCTAAATGTTACAGTTTAGCTACATTCTTTAAACAGTCATGTTACATTTTAGCTACATTCTTTATACAGTCAAGCTACAGGCTAGATGTTACATTTTAGCTACATTATTTATACAACCATGCAACATGTTTTTACACTCAGACTACAATCTTAATGTTACAGTTATGCTTAATGTTACAGTCAAGCCATAATGAGGCAGCCAGGCTACAATTATGTTACACATTACAAACAATATTGTTACATCCAGACAGTTACCATCTTGTGCAGTTATGCTACAGGCATGTGACTGTTTAGCTGAACATACCGGTTAAATATCCCAGTTGTTATTCTAGAAGTGACATTAACAATATGATATTTTTTACAACAATGGTTATCTTAGAATCTTAGACATGAAAATATGCAGCCTACACACATTAACCAATTTTCATGCAGTAATTTATAACTGAATGAGATAATTCGCTGCAACAGTAGTAAATAGGCAATATCCATCTAACCAATATTCTGCTGCCATGTTTTTTGTACTATTACCAACACTACAGGTAACAGGTGCAAAAAGGGAACATAGTATTTATATTAAAAGTATCAGTTACTCCGCTGGAAGAAAAAAAGTGCTGTTTACTGTGCATTTGCTGTTGTTTTTTTAAAGAGAACTTTAACAGTGTATTCAAAGTTATAAATAAAACAGATTATTATCAACTTCTCAATCAAGGTCTTCACTAGAGGGTTCTTGAATGTCTGCCAGGTAAACATTCTACAATACAGACAGTTAACCACATAGATTATTAATCTGTAAGGCAGGCAAAGTAATATAATGTTTGTACCTTGTTAATTTATGTCGGTGATCATAATAGAAAGGTACAAATTAAAGGTACATTAATGTTTACAAAAAAATACATATTCACACAGTGAAAGAAGTCATAAAACAGCTTACAGTGGAACAATTGCATACTTAAATGTTAATATATGATGTTAAATTAAGTTCATATTTTTAAGACAAATTGAAAATCATTTTGTATTCAATCAGCATATGAGGATATATAAAAATCGGCTAAACACGTGCAGGTAATTTTAATATGTGATCATCTTAAATGGTAGGATAAGATAAACAAGTCACTGGTATACATGTATAGTGCAGTTGTATTTGATTAGGAATTACATCAGAATAATTTTTTGTGTTATATACTGTACAGATGAATGAGACGTTAACAATAGCTGATCCACATGCATTTTACGTGGGAATTAATTCTGAAATATATCGTTATGGTAAGTGAATAGTTTTCATCTCTTGAAGAATACATTTTTGTCTTTGGTTGCATTAAGATTTCAGCTATATGATCGACATACCTATAAGACGCACCTCAAAATGTTAAGGGGAACATTGTGGCCTAGTGGTTAAGGTGTCTGGCCCTCAACCCATGGATCATAAGTTCGAGCCCTAATCGGATCACAACCATGTTTCTTCATGTGACACTAGTACTGGTTCAGGTTCCAGGAAGTGGACACGAAAAGTGATTAATATATTTAAGTTGCAAGAACTTGTTTCATAATCAAGCTTAAATAAATATGTTCAAACCAAACCTCATTGTCGAAGACATGATTGTTCTGTTATTAACTTATTATTTTACTTCTATTTATATTTGGTAATGTTAGTAACAATTATATAAAACCATATGTTGCAAAACACTTCATTGCTGTTTCCTTATATATAATTGCAAATGTTGCCAGTTTACACAAAAAACAGATATTTGTAATTTTTTGATAATGACAAGCACATGGTCACCCTTTTTGTGATCTATAGTTCTGATTTATTTGATGATCGGCTGTTATTCTGATCAAAGTGCAGTTCAAGTCTAATAAATTTGTGTTATTAAATCTTATCAATGAAACAAAGAGAAGTACATGTTTACAGGTAAATGATAAACTAAAAGTATAATATATTGACAATGGAAAAATGAATTATTGGTCAATCCAAAATGTGGAATCTGCATGGAGATGGTCAATATAGAGGTGCTATCAAACATGCTCTTGCATTTGTAGGATTTTTCCCTTTTAACTGTGGAAGATTTAAGCTCTAAAACTGTTAAATTGGGAACCTTGAAGTTGACTAACTCTGCTAATGTTTCAGATTTAGCAAGGTTTTATTAGTGGTTAATGAAATATATTTAACCTAAGATATGATAAAAAAAAATAGAAACAAATATGTTTGTCCTTGTTGTTGACAATTTAGTGCCATTCCAGGACAGCCCCATATTATTTGCCCTATTGAGACAATGATGATGATTAGATCTACACAGATGACGCTTGAACAATTTAAATCATAAGCATTAGGCATCATATTATAAGTGTGATAATATGATATTCAAATTGGAAACAAGGATATGTAGGCTGATATTGGTCTGCACTGGACTTACACGAGTAGAATTAAAATGTTGCCGTCAGCAGGTCATGAGTAAACATGTTCAATCATACCAGTACAACTTAACTTGAAATGAAATACATATACCTAGTACTATATATAGTGCTGACACAGAGATAGGGAAAATGTGTGTCAGAGAGGACCAGAACACCTCCAGTATAACACAGATTTTAAACTTTAATATGATTACTTTTTTCCATGCTGTATGTAACAGCTAGAAGATCAGCCCTATATAAAAAAACTTCATGTACAAAGTTTAAAGTTCATATATCCCAGATGTTTCCTTTTGGACATTGACCACATTTTTTTTTACCTTTTCAGAATACATGTCACTATACATAGGTTTGTATGCACTGATTTTGGTCTGCCCCATCAAATTAGAAAATTTATTTTTATTCAGCATATGTAAGTAAATTTGCTCAAATTACCAGTAAAATCACTGAAACCCTGGAGTCTATATCTCTATCATTAAAACCCCGGGGTCTATATCTCTATTATTAAAACCCTGGGGTCTATATCTCTGATATTAAAACCCTGCAATGGGGTCTATATCTCTTTCATTTAAACCCAGGGTCTATATCTCTATCATTAAACCCTTGGGTCTATATCTATGTCATAAGAACCCTGGGGTCTATATCTCTGTTATTAAAAACCCCAGGGTCTATATCTCTATCATTAAAACCCTGGGGTCTATATCTTTAAAACCATGGGGTCAATATCTCCATCATTAAAACCCTTGTGTCTATATATATGTCATTAAAACCCTTGGGTCTATATCTATGTCATTAAATCCCTGGGGTCTATTTCTCTATCATTAAAACCATGGGGTCTATATATTTTACATTAAGAACCTGGGGTCTATATCATTAAAATCCTGGGGTCTATATCTTTAAAACCATGGGGTCTATATCTCCATCATTAAAACCCTTGGGTCTATATCTATGTCATTAAAACCCTGGGCTCTACATCTCTATCATTAAAACACCAGGGTCTATATCTCTATCATTAAAACCCTTGGGTCTATATCACTATAATTTAAACCCTGAGGTCTCTGTAATTAAAACCTTGGGGTCTTTATCTCTTTCATTAAAACCCTTGGGTCTATATCTCAATTATTAAAACCCTTGGGTCTATATCTCTATAATTAAAACCATGAGGTATCTATCATCAAAACCCTGGGATCTATATCTCCATCATTAAAAACCCTAGGGTCTATATCTCTATCATTAAAACCCAGGGTCTATATCTCTATCATTAAAACCCTGGGGTCTATATCTTTAAAACCATGGGGTCAATATCTCCATCATTAAAACCCTTGGGTCTATATATATGTCATCATTAAAACCCTGGGGTCTATTTCTCTATCATTAAAACCATGGGGTCTATATCTTTAAAACCATGGGGTCTATATCTCCATCATTAAAACCCTTGGGTCTATATCTATGTCATTAAAACCCTGGGCTTACATCTCTATCATTAAAACACCAGGGTCTATATCTCTATCATTAAAACCCTTGGGTCTATATCACTATAATTTAAACCCTGAGGTCTCTGTAATTAAAACCCTGGGGTCTTTATCTCTTTCATTAAAACCCTTGGGTCTATGTCTCAATTATTAAAACCCTTGGGTCTATATCTCTATAATTAAAACCATGAGGTATCTATCATTAAAACCCTGGGAGTTTTATCTCTTTCATTTAAAGCCTGGGATCTATATCTCTCGTATTATAATACTATTTTTTTTTCCGGAAACATGTTACCCGCATTTTGTGTGTTTTTTACTGAATTAATTCTTTAGATTTCTGAAAGCTATATTTATTTAATGGGCATAACAGATGTAAGAAATAACAAAAAGTATATCATGTAATATAACATCAACATTACTATTAATATATAGTGTTGTACAAAAAAAAATATTTCTTTGCATATGGCAGCTTTGCTTTATCTCATATAAACTCATTTTGTGGTGAAGAAATTTTGCAGCGTTTTAACATTTTTGTGGTCAAATTACAGTAGGAAAACATTAAAGAATTTCGTTGTTTTCTACCTGACAATGTAAGAAACTTCAATAATTGTCATAATAAACTAAATAGTAAAAATAAATGTGATTAAATACCCACAAAATAGAATACAAATCATGAAGTTGTAAATGGTATGTCATGTAAATGACTTAATACCATATAATTTACACCGGTATGATATCTATATTCAATGTTATATAAATATTTAAATTTAACTCGGTCAATATTTTTTTTTATCGTATGACAATTGTACGAGATTGACAGTTTGTCATGGTGTCCTTTGTCAAGGCCGTTGAAAGGCAATACTGTTGACAAGAGAATATTTCATTCACAACTTTGAACCTGATCTTATCACATTTAGATAACAAAATGACCTTCAGGCTTCAGTCAGCAAGAAAAAAAAACACACACACACCAAGGTACATCTGCACATTTGATACATAAATTATGTCTTGTAAATATTTACCAATCCCTGGGTATTAAATTTAATGAAAAATAAATCAATTGTTAAGACAACCACAGAGTATGATATTTAAACTTCTGTGTATTATCAATTTACATGTTAGAAGACTACCAGGAGGTATGTGGTTGTGCACCAGTTACCCCCTGCCCAACCCACCTTCCATGAAAGACTGCACAGTTTGGCATCTCACAGGGGGGCTCTCTTCCACCATTCAAGCTAAATATAATGTTGGTGCCGAGTGGCTCGATCTCCCTGTAAAGCTATCATTATTAAAACATAAGACTTAACAGGACTATAGATGCATATGGTCAAAGCATTTTGGATCAAGCCATACCTCAAGAAGTTGATGAACTTGGTACGAGTATAGAGATGACGCACAGTTTTTCATTAGAGAAGAAAGGTGGTTACTATAAAAATAGTAAAAAAACAATGAAATTCAATACACGATAGCTCATAAAGTTAGCATGTATTTCCTTTATTTCAAAATTATGTCAATTTTCCTAAATTGAACAAGCATGATTCTTTCCTGTCTATGGGTTGACAATAAAAATTTGAGACTAATTCATTTCAGTCAATCTCCACATTTGTATCAGTCTATGAAGAAAAAAAGACACCATTACACCAGTAAAGATAATTGTTGAATTGCCTGTTTTCTAAAATACTGAATGACATGATCAAAACTTTAAGATTTGGTTATGTGCCAAAATGAAAATAGTGTGCCAAACAAAATAGGTAACACTTCAATGGGTGTAAAATATCTCTGTTAATGTCCTTTTTGGTTCGACCCCCCCCCCCCCCACCCACACACAAATAAAAAATTGTAACCACTTTGTGTGACTCTGTGACTTGTATGAGCAAAGAACAGAAAATAATCTGGCAATGATCATCAACTGGACAGAAATTATAATTACATATTCTTCATATGTACTGTATAAGGTTAAAATATTGCATACTAAATTCTCACATCAACTTTATGCAATGCTCTACATTTAATTTTGAATATTCTTTTGTGAATTTTTTGAATATAAAGGTCAAAATAGTACATTGAGCTGGCAGCAAAATAATGATACATTTGTATTATTTAACAATTACAATTTAAACGATAATAGTATTTCGAAATAATAACTGAATACCCAATGAAAATAATATGGTTGTTCAAATAAATAAATATGATATAAAATCCCTGTCCATTGTTTTAAAGTGTGTGCCAAGTCAGCTTAAGCTGAACAATCGCATGTACTGGTATAAAGCCTGTTTAAAAATTGACCTTTGTATAATAAACATCTTATAGACCAACTTCAGACATTTGACTCCTAATGTGACCTTGACCTTCAAGGTTCATCATCTTCTGATAAGTTATGCC